AGTGTCTTATTTTGAGCTCCTCTTGAAGTTTGATTCAGGACACTTTTCTGTTGGGGGTCATCTACCCCCTTGTATGCTTGTTTGCCTCTTGTTTTGAGCCTTGCACCTAGGCCTTTGTTTCATGCTTTGTTTGGCCTCCTAGCCATTGAAATATAGTGGATTTTTAGTGGCTATCACACACTGTTTTGAGAGCCAAAATCAAAGGGGGGTGACCCCTCTCTCCTTGTCTTGATTGTTGGCCCTTTTGGCCTTCCAAAGGGCCCTTAATTGCATGTTGTGAAGTCACATTTCAGGCCCTATTTGGTGAGTTTTAAGGTCTGCATGAACTCTATCCAGAGCCCATTTTGCCATATAAAGTGTCTATTATGCATGTGTAGAGCAATCCTATTCAAGGCCTTTCAAAGGGGCTTTCACTTGCATGCTTCCTAGACTAATTTCAGGACCTTTTTGGTGAGTTTTAGGGTCCTCATAACCTCTTTCCAGAGGTGGTTTTGTCATTTTGTATGTCTATCTTATATGTGTAGAACAACCCCTTGCATGGCCTTCTAAAGGAGCACATCATTCTTGCATGCATTGACTGAGTTTCAGTGGATTTTTGGGCATTATTTGGCATGGCACACTTCTATTTTTGGCTGGTTTGGTGAGCTCTCATGTGCTCCATATAGCTGTAGTACAAATCATGGTTCACTAGCTTACTTCGCATGCTTTGTTGACCCTTGATTTTAGCTCTTTTTGGCCTTGCCTTAAACTGATATTGTGCGTATTTTGGACTGCCCTAGCTCTATTTTTGGGTCTCATGATTGAATGATGTTTGTTTTGCATGCTTGTAGTTCAATACCCATGCTTAACTTTGAGTTTTGAGGTCCATTCCATGCATATACTGAGGTGTTTTCACGCTTTGGGGTCATTTTGCATCATATTTCAGAGCCTATATGAATGCCATATTCTCATGTTTTCTAGTCCTTAAGTGTGCTTGAGAGTTGTCCATGAATGCCTCGTTTTCAGACCATTGAATGAGCTCCATTTCTTTGCATTCCGAGCCATCATTTTAGGTCATTTCCCCACTGTTTCAAACCTGCCTAGGGTCTGTTTGGGGTTAGTTTTGCCATTCGTGTATTGCTTTATGTACCTCTAGTGTAATCCGCTTTACTAGTTTCGGTATTCGGGCCATCTAGCTTGCATTGTGTGACATATTTTCATGATTCGGAACCATTGCGCATCATGTTTCAGAGCTAGAAATTGCATGTTTGTAGGCCATCTTTCATTCCTTGCCATGTTTTGGTAGAGTGGCATTTGATGCCTTAGGTTCGGTCTATTGCATTCGTGCATGTTTGCATGTATTTCGGTTGTCTTATTTCCATCATATGGCCACTGATGTGAGTGTGGCTGAGGTCCACTCATATTGGTGTAAGTCATTCTTGCATTGTGTATGCCATTTCAGTCCATAGCATTGCGTATGTTAGGTTGTATGTTAGAGCATTGTGCATGCCATGTTACATCACGTGCATTGTGTATGCCATCTTAGTCCATAGCATTGCGTATGCTAGGTTACATGTTAGTCGCATTGTGTATGCCATCTCATTTGCATTGTGTTTGGGATAGGAGTTAGCCCAAGCACGGGAAACGAGGGACGTTCTGTACTCCAAGTGACGAAACGCGTTTCAATTCCCGGTCGCCAACACTCCGGATTAACCATGATGGAGTCTAGGCCTTGTTGTGTTTATATGTGCATTCATTTCACATCGAGTCGTGCAATTCGACTCCTCAGCCATCGTGCATCGAGATACGTGATTGGTGGCACGAGGATCGAGGTGTGCATACATATGAGAAAATACTTTGCCATGTCCTTTTCTTGCTCTCTGTTACAGCAAATTAGAAATCAGCAACTTTCTAAAGCCTTGCACAGCATTCCGGGGTTAATTGCAAACAGAGGTGAATCGGGGCATCGCAATGGATTTCCACAAAAGGCAACTCGAGCATGCATCTTTCATCATTCGGAACAGAGCTGAGGCGGTCCACGAATTTGCATGCTAGTTTATTTACTTTCCTAGTTAATTTGTTAATTAAATAGGGTTTTGTAATATTTAATCATTCATTCGAAGTGTAATTATTTATTCGGACTGTATTATTTATTCGGACCCTCCGAGCGAGGGCACAATTGTAATATGTGTGCGTGTATGTGATGTATGTCTTCCAACCCCCATTTCTTTCTCCCTTTTATTTACCAGCTTATGATGGTTAGATTAGGGCATGTTTCAATTAGCATACTTATGCTCGCATGTTTGCATCCATTCATCTGCCTCGGGCTCGGCGCACCATACTAACTGCATTGTACTTTCAATTCTAAATTGAATACATGTTAGTTGTAGCATTTCATATACCATCTTAGAATAGCCGAGCCTGCTATAGTTGCATTTTTGCATGTGTTGCATTAGGCACTTCTGTATAATTAGGATCATGCATGGATTTCTGATGAGTTTCTGTTTTGTCTTGGAGTACTCGGTAAGTTTTATGCTTTAGCATCCTTGCAAGCGTGTGAGTGACTGCCATGATAGCATGCTTACCATGAGGCTATTTGCTTATGTGATATACCTGCCTGAATGCCTATGGGTGAAGATTGGATTATCTGAATTGGAATAATGCATTGATTGTGAGTTTTAAGCCCACTAGATAGTGGCAAAACCATGTTTCCTAAGCCCACCCGAGGGTGGCAAAATCAGCATTTTTAGCCTACTTGCGAGTAGCAAACCGCTTTAAAAAACAAACATGAAATGTTTTGTTCCAATTCGAGCGATCCAGTCTATACTTGTATGCTGTGCGTATCACATAGTAAATTTAGACTAATAACCGAAATAAGAGCGCATAATGTTTTTAAAACTAGATATCATGGTTAGTAGAGGCCGATCTTTGATCGGGCGAGCGGGGGTGCTTACGAAGTGACCTTCCCCAATTGTACCCAAGTTCCTGAGCCGAGGCAACTTTGGTGATGACAGACACGTGGCATTAGGCAAACGAGTCAGGGTTTCCTAAATCCCCCAAAATAAAATATTTAGGTGGCGACTCTGTATCTGGCAAAGCAGTCCATGTTTGGCACTTCTTTCAAAAAAATCTGTTTTAAAAAAAAATAATTTGTCGGATTTAGACTCTTTGATGATTCATCGGTCTTGCATTGCACTCTGCGAGATTAGTTACAGGACCGTAACATTTGAGTCCTGAACTGTAGTGAGCCCAAACGAACAAAACAGGATTCTCTCCCAGGACGTTCGGGGACGTCTATAGTACGGCAACCTTGGGATTGTGTTCCTGGTTACATGGATTAGTACCAAACCATTACCCATATGTACGTACAAACCCAGTGCGTTGTTCTCAAGTGGATCCGAATATCCATCATTATCAGTATCCTAGCCAAGACGCATAGGTATCCTTTTTTTCATTTACATTGCAAATTATTTATGTAAACTGTTACAAGTTTGTACATAATGTTATATTTGTTCTCGTAATGCAGCGTATGTCACAGATACATCAGATTACTCATCCTTTCATTGAGGCTGGCTATGAGGACAGTGTTCATCATCCTGATAGGCTTTACTATGCGATTGATGCAATCGAACAACTTCTTCAAGATTAGCACCTTAGTGAAGCTGCGCCCAACACATCCACTCAGGGTCGGTCTGCACCCAGCTCTTCTACTACACATCATTTTGGAGCACATTACACTCGCTGGTCACGTAGTTAATAGTAGTTCATAATGTTAGCACAAGTAGTTTCTAATGATGTTGGTAGATGTATAAGGAGACAAATAATATTATTATCTTCGAATTATGTATCTTTTGGATTATGTACAAGCACACATGTCGTTTGTGATGGTGTGGATGGATTGAACTACTATTTAGTATATATATATTTTATTTACATACTTGTTTAATCTTATTACTTTTTAACAGCAATTGCACTTGGTTAATATTATTTTCATTACGTTTTGTGTTCGGACAATGTAAAAATAATATGACATCCATTCCGTAAATTAGAGAACTGTAACGCATATAATATCCTATTTTTTAAAACAAAACTGACCATTACAAAATCCAATGGCAAAATGCTATCTACCTCGTTACTCTATACTAATAAATCATAAAAACTAATGTCTTAACCCTTTCGTTACTACTCTGTAATACCTCAATCTATGTCAACTACATCAAATGTCTCTCGAGTAGCTACATTAGCTCCTATGTTGTCTTTGAATTTTTGAACGCGGCTAACATATGCATTCTCCCATTCTGACGCATAAGGGTGATGTGAACTCGCCAAAGCACGGCAATGGGAGGAACTGGATGATCGGCTTCCAAAAACACCTGCACGTACATCCAAAAAATTACATATCTTTACCAAATACATAAAATTTGCAATTACACAAATATTAGACAACAATGTTTGGTTATTTTCATAACTTTTACCTGCACAAAATGATTTTCATTGACAAATCCAATGGCAATATCGCGACGATTAGCTAAGGTTACCGGAGGTGATCTCAAAGGTAAGAAAGTGAGACACTATTACAATGACAAGTGGTACAAGACTACATTATAAAATGATGCAATAAGATGCCCCATGTCAGGCATAGTCATCCAACGATCAAAGCCTGGGCTATTTTCAAAATATGAAAGGATGTGTGTCAGCTTCTTAACCCTCTCATGCGACCTATATAGTACGACGTATTCATCTCTGTGATTATTCAATTAAAGTAGCAGATCACCCTTAACTTGCACCCAGTCATTCTCTCCAAGACCAAGTAAACCTGCAATAGCTCTAAATCCACAATTCCCATCACCATCTATATCCTTCATCAACTTTATGAATGGTATTAACGTAGGCGGAAAGTCAGCAGCATATGCACTCGGTAAACTTGTTCTTGTACGATATGTCTTTGTCTTCACATTCCGCTTCTTTTCATGCACTTTTGAAGCTCTCTTTTTCTTTGACTGACTGGAAGCTAATGTGCTCTAGCTATCATGCTCATCGTCAACCAACTCAAATGCACACGGGTCACGACGACAAGATATATCAATTTTCTTATGTCCTCGACATGGATTAGGTTTCACATCGGGCTCAATAAGAAAAGTGCTCGCTGGATTTGCAATTTCCCTCAACTTCTTCAACATATCCAATTGCGTGGCAATATCAGACTCTTCGAATCGCTTTAAAATCAACTCAAGTTCTGGGATACAAGTCAATTCCAACTTCTGTTCCTTCGGATTATGCACACATATAGTAAGGCGCATCCAATGTACATGTATGCTACTGAGTGGAATAGGACGGCCTTGTCTCGTGTAATCTGCAATCTCGTGAGCACAAGGTAAACCATGTGTGCGCCTAAGAACACACCCACATGTTGTAACATCAATTCCAACTGAATTTGCTCTCTTACTCTCTGCTAACACGTACTCCAATGCACAAATAGACACATTACCCCATAGCTCTCTGAATTGAGAAGGTTTGAATTGATGTCATACAGTTGTCAAACTTTTCTCGAATGATGCTTTAACTTGAATGTGCTGCAACTCAAGTAGACAATGTATTTTTTCAAATGAAACCTCAAATGTCGTTTGACTTGAACCTAATTGCCTCTTCAATCTAGCACGAGCACTCTCAACCCTGGTCATATGGATGTAAACCAAAATAGTCAAGCATAATAATTAAAAATAACAATATGATTTATAATAAATTAAAAAAAAAGAAAAAAATCTTACCGATTGGTTGTAACATTGCCAAAATGCATACACATGTCTATATGTATCGTAATGAATTTTTCTTGATACGGATTCAACCAACTCATAGTAACATATTTGATTGCCTCCGGATAGTTATTGAAATCCTTATGTAGTGTTGCAAGGTGATCATTGTATTCCTTTTCAGTCGATGACAATATCAAATAGTTCCATACAGTGTTAAACTTGTCCATTTTTTCTTTTGTCTCAAACATTTTCTTGCATTTTGTTAATACATTCTTATTAATATGCCAACGACATAACAAATGTCGAGCATTCGGAAAGGTGTTGTCAATGGCATTCATCAAAGCAAGCTCTCTGTCTGTGACAATGACTTCAGGTAAAACACTGTCGTCTATAAGATCACGCAATGTTTGTAACGCCCATGCATAATTATCAACCCGCTCAGTTTGCAAGTATGCGATAGCCACGGAGAATGTCATATGAGTTGCTGTTACTCCCACAATTTCAAGAAGAGGAAGCCGATATCTATTCGTTTTATATGTGCAATCCATAATTAACACACGAGGGAATGTACGAAGCAAATCCAAACTCACTGGATGTACCCAAAACAAGTCCGTGACAGTCATAGAGCCTTCCTCACATCGATGACGCTCAATGTACTTATGTTTCGCTAATTCACCCAGTAGTTGTTGCATCTGGGATCTACCAGCTTTCTGTAGAACCCTACATCGATGTCGTATATTGTAAACTATCTTCATTCTGCTCATATTAAGGGCATCCCTCTGTTTGAGTGTAATGAGTATCTCTTTTGGTCTTACTAGGCTCTTTGATATATCAACTAATAGCGACTTTTCATTAGCTGACAATCTTCCTGCATATGAATGTCCTTGGAGATGCTCCGCAACTGGATGATTATGCAGCCCGCAAACTACATTCAATGTCCATTCATCGTATGTTTTCAACTTGAATGCCCTCAAATCAAATGGACATTCACACTTCTTCGTACCAATTTGTCTCAATAAGTCTTTTGGGCCATATTTCAACTTTTTACGCAATCTATACTTCCCACTCCGCTCACAAGCAAGATAAATTCTTGGTCTCTTACGACCGCCACCATAGTCCGACGTTCTTATAATAATAACAAAGCCATTTATCCTTCCAATGTCTCATACCCAAGTGAACAATTCATCTTTGTTGTCGAAAACCTATATATGATGTCACATAACTTTCACAATAACAAACTAAACAAACTAACTAATACAAATTTATGAATTTACAAATTTTATGTTAAAAATTACCTGTTTAGCTATAAAATGGCTAGTACAATCCACCATAATATCCGATCGAACCTCAGGTTCTTCAGTGCATGCCATCTAAAGAGGAAGGGGAAAATTTCAATTCGGTTCTACAGATCCGAAATAAGTAAAATAATTCGGCAAATAAAAAACGAAAATAATAACAAAATTCGGCATTCTAGGACTGAAAATATTAATTTTGTTTGGAATTATAGGACCGAAAATATTAATTTTGTTCAGAACTCTAAGATCGAAATAAATTAAAAAAATCGTAATTCTAGTTCTGAACTATTCATATTATTTCGGTATTTGATAACCGAATTAATTTTTCAAATTTGGCACTGCGTTTTCGACTAAAAAACGCAAAAAAAAAAAAAAAAAAAAAAAATGTTGATCAAAATCAAATAAAAATTGTTCCTTTTCAACACTGATTTTGCTATCACCATTGCTTGAGTTTGAACTGTCATAGGTTTGCAACTCTTCCATATCAAAATCAAATAAAAATTGTTGAACTAATAATTAAACTATGTTAATAATTGAGTATAAATTTAAAGATTAAAGCAATAGAGGAGATGTTTTGTTTGCAAATAACAAAGAGGAATACAGAGTGTGTAAGAAGTAAAGTGACTACAAAAGAAAAATTAGGGTTTAATTTTTTTTTTTCAAAAAGTGTATATTGAGATATTTTTATTTCTAAAAGATGTGTATAGAGAATTTGTATATATAATATTAGGAGTGTTGATCAATGGCTATTATAGTAATTTTTAATTAGGATATAATTGTCATTAATCTATTTTTTCATTAAGTGTGTTCACTGAGTTTATCAAGTTGGTAGAAATAGAATTTCCCCAACAGGACTTAATGGTATTTAAGTTCATTAAATGGGACTATCCCACAATTAACCCTTAGATTATTTGACGAGTCGTGAGAATCTTTTATATTTTTTTGTGTTAGTTAGGGCATGTCCAACTGTTCATCAGAAATTTTATCAAATCTGAGTAAAAAAAGATGAATTCCTCAATTTGATATCAACCACTCCAACGGTGAGTATTGTAACTTTTATCAAAACGCACTGGATGTCCTGGGAGAGGACCCGCCGGTCGATCGGAAAGAGAAAACTGAATTTTTCCCCCTCAATTTCTGTTCCCTCAATTCCTTTCCGCAAAATGCTGATCCCTCCTTGGGTAATTCTTATAAAACCATTCCACAACACTGCCACTGTCATCTGTGATGAAAATTCGTTTTTTGTAACTTTCCAGGGAATCTTGTAACAAGTCTGGCAGGAATTTGGGTTTTTCCAAGTAATCACTCGACTTTGCCAATGCTCGTCTAGGCGGTGGCTCAAACAATACATCTTCTAAACCCTTCAAAACCTCTTTTTTGGCTTCCACCATGTTATCACAATGTTGCAGCTTTCTTGGCAAATTCACCGACTCAATCATCAAACCTGTTTTCCTCATTGCAACCACAGTGGAGTTGTTGAATCGCCTAATATACACAATTTTATAATTTGAGTCTTGTTGGAAAGTATTTAAAGGGTCATTGTTGTAATTTGAGTCTCATCTGGAATCTAGCTTGAGTCTCATCTGTAATTTGAGTCTCAAGCTCGAGTCTTGCTGTAATTTGAGTCTCATTTGGAATCAAGCTTTGGCTTTCTAGATCGGATTCGATTGCCAAATCAATATCATTCTCGTTCAAAAATTCTGAATAATCCATGAAATTCCTAACACGAGAGCTCACAACAAGAGCTCTGTTGCCTTTTATGAGCAATCCTTCGTCCCACAAATCGTGAAAAAGCAAAGGCAAGAATTCGAAACCGAATGAATCAGAGCCAATTGCTTCATAGTCAAACAAAGAACTCGAGGGTTTTCTCGTGATGGAGACAATAGAAGGCAATGCTAGTATTAGAAAGGCTAAAAACAGAGACTGAGACATAACCCTTAAAACTTGTGAAGTTGGAAGCTCTATCACCAAAAAGGCATCGGAATTCAACCCAATTGTCTCCGATTTCAATTGTTTCGTCTCAATTTCTCTCTTGGATCAATGCCCACAACCCAATTCCATTGCAAAAATGGAGCAAAACCTAGAAGCAATGTGATTGCCAACCATGAGCATTGGCAAAAAAGACAGGTCAAAAAAGATGTAGAGTTGGTCATTTGGTGGTCGACCGGGGGGATCGACTAGGTGGTCGACCGGTTAATGTAAATTTTTTACAAATTATGCTTTGAGGTGGTCATCAAGGGGGACATCCGGCCGGACGTCCAGTAGGTCCACACTCAACGGTTATGCACTGTAAATTATTGAAAGGTGCAAGACATCCGCAGTTTGGTGAAAATTTTGGACCGTTCTCAATTTGATATGGTTTTGATAAAACTGTTAGAGACAAAAAAAAAATGTGTCTTTTTTTACCAAATTTAAATTTGGTGATGAATTTGGTGAACCGTTAGAGATGGCCTTAGAGTTGGGTAAAAATGTGTCTTTTTTTACCAAATTTAAATTTGGTGATGAATTTGGTGAACCGTTAGAGATGGCCTTAGAGTTGGGTTTTATGAACGAGACTTATTTATAAGGAATGTTCCATCTTTCAATGATAAATTTATTATTATAAAAATATTTAATAAATATAATTTAATTACTTACATTTTTTTACATCATAATTCAATACAAATTAACATGACTAAATTAAAAAAATTCATAAACAAAAATTAAAATGTTGTAATTATCTATCACTATGATAAAACTTTTAGTATTATTACAAGTATTAAATGATCATTTCATAAATATAAGACATACTTCTAAAAAAGTCTTAAAAAAATTCATTATTAAAACAATGGATAGATAAAATAAAAATTTATTTAAGACTTAGGCCTCGTTTGGGAACAGGCTAATTTAGTAACTTTTTGGTTATTTGGCTAAAATGTGAGCTAAAAAAAATTAGTATGTTTGGGATAACTTTTTGACTTTTTACGAAAAGATGTGCAAAAAGTAGAGAGAAAAGAGAATCTTTGACTTTTTGGTACGGGTTGTTGGCTTTTTGGCTAATTTAGTAACTTTTTGACTTTTTGGCTAAAAGGGAGAGTTTCCAAACGAGGCCTTATTAATAAGTAAATTTGGTTCGTAGGACCTGCTGCTGGTAATTATCCTTAGATTTTTGTGTAGATTATATTTAGGAAAAGTTATCAATAAATCTTAAATGTTGAAATTGTACACCATTTAGTCTCAACTTTTTTTCTTTTGATCTATTTGGTCCTTTCTATTGCTCAATGATGTAAATACCACTACATATTTTTCTGAACGCTTGAATAGGTGATGGTGTGGTGTGACACAGCCTCATGTTTGTGTGTTTCAGAAATTTGTGTTCGGTACGTGTCACATTGAGGGTGATCGGTGGGTGCAATACATCAACAAAGTGCACTAAGGCTCTTTATGCTTTTTGCCTTGAAATAATGTATGTCATGTGACACACAGTGTTTGGCACGTGTCTTTTATGAGGGTGATCGGTGGGTGGGTGATCAGTGGGTGCCACATATCAACAAAGTACACTAAGGCTCTTTATGCTTTTTGCCTTAGAATGGTGTATGTCACGTGACACACAAAAGGAAGGGTATATTTGACCACTCAATGTTACCAAACAAAGGAAATAAAATCAACTGGTAAGATATTCCCCCACTAATAGGACTAATCAGAACAATAGAAATAACTTTAGAACCAATCGGTAAAATTGTTTGTCAAATATGGTTTATTGGTAAATATCCCTTATATTTATCTTTCTTTATATTTAAAAAAAAATACAATTAGTCTCATATTTTTAGAATGATTACGTTGATTTTTTTTTTAAAGATTTTAATTCATTATTAGAACAAAGGATAAATACATAAAAAGAAAATATTTTAAGTTTTTTTTTTCATTAATAATTTATTAGTCATATAAATAAAAAAAAATAATATTATCATTTATTTCGTATTAAAAAGCATGTTTATATTTGTTTATTTCAACATGTATCTACTATTGGCATTAGTTTTAGTTGCTTTAATCATGCTAAAAACAATTGATATAAATTAAATTATGGATAAACTATTAATAGATTTTAATAGTTGAACTTAATTATCATAAAGTTTTATTGAAAATAAATCTTAGTAAAATTATAGCTAAAAATATTTTTTTATGACAATTTTTTACATATATTGTTAAAAATTGACAATTAGTGACTTTTTTTTATCATATTTTTTTAAATTGTCTCTAAAACTTACAATTAGTGACGTTTTCTGTGACGAATTTTTTAAACTGTTGCTGAAAGTTGTAAATTAATGACTGTTTTTTGTGACGATTTTTTAATTTGTCGCTAAAATTTATAATTAGTGATATTTTTTGTGACAAAAATTTCAAACTATCGTTAAAAATTAATAATTAGTAACTTTTTTTAATAGTATTTAATAAAAAATATTATTAATTATTATGAAATCTATTGAATAATAAATTCACTTATTAAGATCTATACGTAAGTTTCTTAATAATTATTTGTAAAACTTACTGTATTTTCTCTAAATCTTATGGTTGACTTTTTATGAGTCTTGAGAGAATTATTTACTTATTTTTGGTTGTAGGGAGATGTAATGGACAACAAAAGCTAAATATAAATAGAAAGAAATATATAAACTTAAAAAAAAAGAAGGGGGCATTACCCATTCGTAATAGTCAGAAAAATTATTTACAAAAAAAGTAAATATTATAAATGTTAATAATTATAATTATATTTTTTTATTAATATTTAATAATTTTTGAAAATTTTCCTAAATGGTAATTTTTCCAAAAAAAAAAAGGGATGAGCACCTCTCCATACATTTATCTATCTGTCTTGTGAACTTAATTCAGACCCACATCAAAATCTGAACTACGTACTTTGTAGATCTTGCAATAAAGATTATCAATATAAAAAATTAATTTCATCAAATTAATCTATAAGTATTTAACCAAATCATATTTTATTTTATAAAATAAATAATAAATATAATTATAAACTTAAACTCTCTATTTTATAAAATAAAATAGGATTTATTTCGTATTTATAGTTGATGACTAAACTGATTTTTTTAAATTTTTTTATTATTATTTTAAGATATGATAGCCTTTACTATATGAGACCTTAAAACCATTCAGCTTGTTTAGTTCTGGTTTTATGAAAATTTTAATTTTTTTATTTTTCGTATTTAATATTTTTAATGAATTTTTTTAATATTTTAAGTAATTTTTTTAAAAATTTTTTAGACACATTTAACATAAATATACTTAAAAAGTATAATATTTATGATTTTTTTTAAAATACACTAAATATCAAAAATACGAAAATTCAATATATTTTTCATATTTTTGTATATTTATTAATTTTTAAAATATTTATTCACAAATATATTATTATTTAGGGGGTATTTTTTTAAGGTCCCTGATATTATGATTTTATAGTATAAAGGACATCAACTATTTTCATGATGTCTAAGGTCCCTCAACATCAACCAGAGAAATTTCAGTCCCAGAGAAAATTCGATCCAGAGAAAATTCAACTAGAGAAAATTCAATCCAGAGAAATTCTCTGGTCCAAACGAGAAAATTCAATCAGAAAAATTCAATTCTGTCTAAAATTTACCTCTCATTCTAGCTAAAATGAGGTGTACAGTTCTAGAAACTAAAGAACGAGAAATATGAAAAACATGAGTTTGCAGAGATAAATCTCCAACAAGCAACGGAGTATACGGACACAACTCGTTGCCTTGAAGGTGGCATGCACATAATCACCATGATGAGTATGAGAACAATCAGCATAAGAGTTGACTTGATATCTGGAGCTTCGTCTTCACCTTCTGCCATGATCAACACTTCTTGCTCAAGCTTTCTTCTTCTTTAGTTTGTTTCCTGTAAACTATCAGTTTGATGCTTTTGCTTGTTCTTGTACTCTGCCCAAAATAAAATGTAAAGTTGTGGTTAACAACCAAGGTGACTTGTTAATTATTTTGTGCTTTGAGTTGGGAGTGTACATTGATTTTGCATTTAGTTTCTTGAATTTGCATTTAGTTTCTTTGAATTATTTGACCTAAAATTCAGTTCAAATGAAAAAAAAAATCGAAATAGACGTTTTGTGAGCTAAATACCAGAGAAATTCCTCAATCCAGAGAAAATTTTCAACCCAGAGAAAATTCAGTTCCATTGCCAAATACTCTTGGAAGGCTTGAACCCAGAGAAATTTAATTTTTCTCTGGGTGTGAATCCAGAGAAAATTCTCAACCCAGAGAAAATTCAGTTCCATTGCCAAATACTCTTGGAAAGCTTGAACCCAGAGAAATTTGAATTTTCTCTGGGTTGAATCCAGAGAAAATTCTCAACCCAGGAAAATTCAGTTCCATTGCCAAAAATACTTCTTGGAAGCTTGAACCCAGAGGAAATTTGAATTTCTCTGGGTTGAATCCAG